TATCTTTTGTCTTCCCATACACGCCCAAGAAGCCAAGCAGGGTCACGCAAAGATTCTTCGTCACGTGCATCACGTCGATTGCGGAGCGGACCTCTAGGTCTTTCCAATATGGCAGGTCCCAAAATATAGATTTCTTCTTCCACATGGGTGCGCGTCCGTCAGCGTCCTTCGGAACAGGTTGTCCGCCAGGACCCTTTCCAAATATCACCTTCAAATCCTTGACCATATCATGTACATCAGCACCAGTACGGTGGCGAGGCTTCGTCCGGTGATCCGCCTCACCTTTGAAATGCTTGCCTTTCTTTCTTACGGGATGCCTGCTCGGAAGAAATCGACGATGTCCCAGGTACACATTCTTCTTACAACTATTCAAATATATACTGTCGGTATCATCCAAACAGTGCGTGCATCCGCGGTATCCCTTGTTTGTCTGTCCTGAAAGGTTACTGAGAGCAGGCCAATCATTGATGGTCACGAACAGCAACGCCTTTAGGTGAAATCCTTCCCCCATGTGCTCATCCCACGCACGTACACCTGTTCCATTCCACAGTTGTAAGAGTTCTTCAACTAATGGTCTTAGGTACACATCAATGTCGTTGCCGGGTTGCTTAGGGCCTTGGATGAGCACTGGCATCATAATGAACTTCCGCTTCATGCACAACCAAGGAGGAAGGTTATACAAACATAGAGTCACAGGACAGGTGCTATGGTTGCTGCTCTGCTCTCCAAAAGGATTAATGCCATCTGCGCTTAGACCAAACCATACGCTCCTTGCGTCATCTGCAAACTCCTTCCCGTACTTTCTTTCGATTTTTCTCCATTGCGACCCGTCAGCGGGTACTCTCAACTTTCCGTCTTTCTTACGGTCTTCTTTGTGCCATCGCATCGCCTTGGCATGCTCTTTGTTTTGGAACAAACGTTTCAACCGTGGTATTATAGGAGAATACCACATTACCTTGGCAGGAATCTTCTTCCTGGGGCGCTCGCCCTTGACATCACCATGCTCATCGCGGCTGATCTTATAGCGTAATGCACCACATAACGGGCAAGCGTTCAAATCCTCGTACTCACCGCGGTAGAGGATGCAATCATTAGGGCATGCATGTATCTTCTGCACCTCTAACCCTAGAGGGCAGACAACCTTCTTTGCTTCATACGTACTCTTGGGCAATTCGTTGTCCTTTGGAAGCATATCCTTTATCATTACCGGCAACTTTCCAAATCCCTTGTCAGATACACCATTCTCTGCCTTCCATTGCAGCAATTCCAGTGTGGTGCCCAACTTTTTCTTGTCACCTACGCAATTCGGGTACAACAATTTTTTGTGATCCTCTAATATGCGCTGCATCTTCTTCTTCTCCAAATCACTTGCGTAGTTTCTCTTTGCATCGGCAATGGCCCGACCTAGATCATCAACGGGCTCATCTGATGCCTCTTCTTCAGCTTCTTCCCGCATTGCCGGCTCAGCTTCTTCCCGCATTACCGGCTCAGTTTCTTCCCCCATTGTTGTATCATCGTATTCAGGAAACCCATGGCCAGGATAGCTGTCGTCGTCCTCTTCTTCTTCATTGTCTTCCATTATAACCCCTCTTTATCTGTGCTTGGTCCAAACATTATAGTGGGGCATGAAACTGGACTCAAACAGGTGGACGTGAATGGTTCTTGACGTAGAGTAATTGCGACCATTCTTACAGCCAGCACATGGATAAGGCATAAAACCATTCGCCCACTTGTTTGCCTCAGCCGCAAGCAGAAAAGTATGCACGCCCTCAACGAACTGGGGAGAGCATCGGTCTTCGTACATCCATTGCCGGCTCATCTTCATTACACAACACCGAATAGACCAAATTAATACAAGTTCATACATAAAGTTCATACAACACTTAAATGCAACAAACAAATAACTCTCTAGCTAAAGCATTTAAATGCAACAACAAATGCGATCAAGATCGCAACTAAGGTAACAATTGATCCAACAGCATAATGATACCAAGCCTCACTATCGATGGCATATTTTCTAATCTTTCTAATCTTCAAGCGCTTTTTCTCCATCTTGATCTTGTGATCACCGACGACATCGGCAACATGCAACTCCAATTCCATCTTATCCCCCTCAATTCTTTTCAATTTTTCTTTCAAGTACTCGTTTTTTCTTTCAACTAAATTTAACCTCTCGATAATAGGGTCGGTTGGAATTTCCGGTTCACGTACCTCCTAGATAAAAATATTTATGTCAACTTGATGGGCATAATTTGTCATAAACATGAAATGCAACAAATAGTTTTAAAAGAGAATATACCACATCCGAATCATAACAAGGACGAGGGCCGACGGGGACGGATATCAAAACCATGGCACTATGTATAACAAACAACGTACGTGTAAGATAATTATTATACGAGTAACTATATATCCAAATGACACAAACATCAATTTTTTATATAAAATTTCATGAACAAGAGGCTCACCACAAGGTGGTGCCGGCGACGGGACGGTGCGGGCGATCGACGGTGGTTACGACGGAGATTTAGACGGCACTAAGTAAACCACACCTACATATGCAAACTAAGTGTTATTTTGACCTCAAATTGTATATAAATCAAATACTACCACATATAATTCCTCCCAAATTACTAAAACCCACAATTAGTCACTATATAAACCAATGCAAGAGCTAATCTAGCAATGAGAGATGAAAGGACAAAGTTGCTAACCTTGGTGATCATTTGAATGGGTGAGGGCCTGCAAATCTTGACAAATTTGGGGCAAATTTTGTGATGAACTCGAGAGGCAGAAGGGAAGAACAGAGGAGAGGGAGAGGGGAAAGGGGAAAGAACAGAGTGCGGGTGGACGAAGGGTTTATATAGGGCGACCTTTAGTACCGGCTCATGCCACGTACTGGTACTAATGGTGCTGGAAGGGCCCCACTCTGACAACATCCTGCCACCACTTTCTTTAGTACCGGTTCGTGGCACGAACCGGTACTAAAGAGCTCCTCCCGCCTAGCCGTTGGAACCGGCACTAATGGACACATTAGTGTCGGTTCTGTTACAAACCGGGACTAATGTGTCTCACATTTGACCCTTTTTCTACTAGTGTTTACACGTGTTGTATAACATTATTTATTTATTATTGGGAAAGACCATGGATTTTTTTAGCAAATGAAAGACCATGAATTGACTATTATTTATTTGCGTTATTGGAAAAATCTGTTGTGCCAAAGGTTTTGCAAGCGTCCGAGAAAAAGAAAGAACCCAACATAATACAAGAAGAGTTTTCAAAATTTATATTGCCGTTTAGTGAAACTTTTTTTCAATCACTGGATGTGAATGCTCGCGCTGAGTTACTCATGAGAGCCATCGTCACTAATTCACTACGTACAAAAACAAGGTGAAAGTTTTCATATACCGCTAGTTGCTCAAACAAACATAGGTAAACTATAATATCCTATCTAAAGTAACACCGTTTCACATCGGACGAGGTACATACACCGCCCATTTGCACATTTTGTTTTGGAAACTATCACAGAAAAGGCTCCCCATCTGAATAAATTTTATTTTTTGTTTTTATTTTTACAAACTAGACAAAGCGAGAAGTAAAGAAGTCTCGCCACAGACAAGGCGAGAAGCAAGAACCTGAACTTGTGTGCGTTCTTGACCAAATAGGAAGGCAGATGCATGGCAGACGCTGAGCTGGGTATGGCAGTCCCTGGGCTTGGTATGGCGCGAAGGAAATCAGACATGAAGCAAGATTCGCAAGAACACAATGATTTGATTCTAATTTCTAAAATAAATACCTGATAATTGGCAAAGATGACAATAATATACTTCTAATCCTAGACAAACATGTATAGTTCATTAGAAGTGGCAGCATCATCACATATAGATATTAAAATCACTTTTACTACTGGGAGCTACTATTTGTATTGCAAAACATCCCACTAACTTCAGCGCCAAATGTGGTTTTATGTATGTATTCATGACTGTTAAGTACTTTTACAACGCTTAACGTTCTACCAGTCTGGATCAAAATACTAGTGAAAAAACAGCTTGAATAATTTGAATAGCAGAGTGCAAAACGGGATTTTGCAAAAGTTCAGTTCACACATTGCGTCAGAGAAGCAAACACTGCAGCAGATGGCTTAGCTAACATTGATATAATTCTAGATCCCCTAGCTTTTGGGACATTTCTATCACTTATTTTATTTCTCACCTTTGTAAATGACCTATCTATTATATGAGAAATAAAGTCGTTTTGCTGTCAAAAAAATATTTTAATTTTTATGTATGTGTATATCCTTATATGCATATACATATACGCTGAGGGATCCTTCAAAATTACTGGTGAACATTGTTAGCTTTCTTTGCCTTGTTTCAAAAAATATATATGGGAATGATAAAGTCACATAGACGGGAATAACAAAGTCACATAGTCTACAAGGCAAACCGAAATTGTGCAGAGTACCAAGACAAGGTTCCGACACTGAGCACAAATAGATAAGTAAGGCATGATAAATGAACCTGGCGACTACCTACTCATCTTTGTTTCCAGGAAACTAATCAAGTAGGTAGGATCCAACGATGGCAGTGACTAGCTCTATGGTAGCCTTGCCAAGGTTGAACTTTGTTGCCCCGGTGAGAATCGCCTTGCACTTCATGATGGTGACCGTGGGTTCCTACCGAGCCATGATGTGGCGTCTGCGACGAACCTTGGCGGCAGAGTCCTTGACCCTCTTGGCGCGCCCACAGTGCTTGCGCAGCTCGTATTCGCCCATGTAGGTACAGTTGGATTCCTCCTTAAGTTGAGCTTCTTGTTCCAACTTTTCCCTATATAGCTTCTCGTCTTCAAATAGAGATTCTAATTCGTTTCCAGGAAACTCGCCCATCCAGCAAGGCGTGTACGGAAAAGATGTGTCCGTCTTTCCATATGGTGGTTCATCATAAACTGCTCCCATCCATGGCCTTGAACTGCCCAAGTCTTGAAATTTTGAGATGTTTCAGTCATAGGCCAATCCTCTGGTTGTTATTGCAGATGAAAATCAAGAAGACAACCTCTTTGTAAGGATGAAATCCAAGGAGGAAATAATCTCCATCGACGTCTTCAACCTCTTCAATGACATTTTGAGTGTCAATAACGTTATCCTCATCAGAGTTCCAATCATATTTCTCTTCCGCAGTCACTTTGTGATTCTCGGGATCTTCAGAGCACCACTTACGGTAGTTAACATCTTGTAAGATCCATTGTCTGCCCACTTGTTGAGCATAGTCATCATGTTCAAAGGTCTTAAGACAGGTATCATGTTTTAATAGCCATTCTATTCGACCGCATGATTCACTGAGATACCAAACCTGAAGTCGATTCCGGTCATCAAGTATTGCATAATACACCCCTCTCAACGATCTCCCGAGATGGTGGTGATTGGGATATCGCATCAATTCACTGGCACCTGGTAGTTTAATTACTCTGTATGTGTGATTTGACAAGGACATTCTACAAACATAAACATTAGGATAAAGTAGATTATTAACAGCATGAGTGGATCATAGTTGTATATTATATATACTGTATTTGTTGAAAGAGAATGACAACTGAGGAGGGAGCGACTACAATACCTGGTAAGATAGCCATGCCGGCAATGGATGTAGAGCGCGCTTTGCTGGTGCTGGTAGACGGCATGATAACTATACTGATAACAATAGTGATCATACCACAAATTCCACTGCTTGTTGGCGACGATCCCTGCAGCTTCCCCTTCCCGAAGGAAGGTTGTCTTCTCCCATCGCTGAGTCACCGACGAGAACACATGGATGAAGTATGATGCAGGGGGCCACTCCGATTCGAGCAACGGGTTGTCGCCGTCGGTTTCGCCGTCACAGGGCAGTGGGGCGCGTGGGATCAGAAAGACCTGGTAGTGCAGCGAGACAACAGGGTCAAATGCGAGGTAGGCGGTCTGCTCGAATCCTGGCATGTGCGGCCGGGGGCGTTTGGGCAGACGCGCCCACCGACGCGTGGCCGGGTTGACGACGTACTCGCGCGGCAGTGCATCGTCACCCGACTCGCAGCAAAGCAGAAGGCCGTGGCAGTGGTCCGTGACCTTGACGCCCATGCAGGGCAGGAAATCGAGCCCTCCGTCAATCGCCGGGCCCGTCGAGGGGCGGGCGAAGAACTCCGAGAAGAAAGTCTGACTGAAGTTGATGAAGATGCCGCGCACCGAGCGCGGAAGCAGGTTGCCGCGCAGGCGGCCGTCGACGGCGTCGCGCCACGCCTTGCACACCCGCCGGGCCTCGGCCAGGACGTGCGGCGGGAGACGCCGGAGGACCTCGGCGAGCGCGTCTTCGGGCAGCGCGGCCGGCTCCGATTCCATCGCCGATCGATCTCCTTTCGAGATCGCGCACGGGGCGCTGTGTCTTCCGCCGCAAAGACGTTGTTACACTCTTCCTGGATCCAGATCTAGAGGTTCAGGGGAGGAATTGGGAACGAATAGACCAAGCGGCCGGGGATTTGGGATCCATGGTGATCCATGGTTTCTCAAGAATGAAGACTATGAGTCTATGAACTACTCCCCTGGTCGAAACACACAACACACGCGACCTGGTCACTCTTTTTTTTTTGAGGGGTACGCGACCTGGTCACTCGTGCAGCCTAACACGACGCACACTTACAATGCCCTCTGGCCCATAGGCAGCCTGCCTCCTTCCGTCCAGAAGCATTGGTCACAGGGAGCTCCTATTTGACGGGCAGTCTTTGCAAAAAAACAAAACAAATTGACTGGCAGTGATATGCATTGCTTATGCGCACATTCAAAATAGTTCATGAGTTCAGAAACATTCGTGAATTAAAAAAATGTCTGCCAATTCCAGAAATGTTTGTGAATTCTAAAAATGTCCACGTATTCGGAAAAAAAAAATTGTGGGTTTGAAAATGTTCATGGATTCAAAAGATGTTCACGCAAATTTAAAAAGAATCACAGATTAAAAACTTGTTCATGTATTCCAGAAATGTCCACAAATTCAAAAATTGTTCATGGTGAATTCATAAACTTGTTGGGGAACGTAGCATGCAATTTCAAAAAATTTCTAGGATCACGCAAGATTTATCTAGGAGATGCATAGCAACGAGAAGGGGAGAGTGTGTCTACGTACCCTCGTAGACCGAAAGCGGAAGCGTTAGTATAACACGGTTGATGTAATCGAACGTCTTCGCGATCCGGCCGATCTAGTACCGACCGTACGGCACCTCTGAGTTCAGCACACGTTCAGCTCGATGACGTTCCTCGAACTCTTGATCTAGCAGAGAGTCGAGGGAGAGTTTCGTCAGCACGACGGCGTGGTGACGGTGATGGTGATCTGATCCGCGTAGGGCTTCGCCTAAGCACTAAGACACTATGACCGGAGGAGTAAACTGTGGAGGGGGACACCGCACACGGCTAAGAGAATAACTGTTGTGTCTCCTAGGGGTGCCCTGCCCACATA